CCATTATTTGCAAAAAAATTCTTTAAAAGTCAGACAAAATGATTTTCTCAAATTTTTTTTCACATTTTGTATCTCATAGTTGAGGTCTACCTATGATGTCAATTACAGGCCTCTCTCATCTTTTYAAGTGGGAGAACTTGCACAATTGGTGACTGACTAAATACTTATTTGCCCCACTGTATTACATTGCCTTGCCAAAAAAAAAAAAAGACCACACACTAATATTTCACTGGACCGCCTTTAGTTTTGATTATGACACACATTATCTGTGGCATTGTTTAATAAGCTTCTGCAATGTCACAACATTTATTTCCATCCAGTGTTGCAGTCATTTTTCCACAAAGATCTTGAATTGATGATGGTAAGTCTGACCTTCTCCAGCACATCCAAAAGATTCTCAATGGACTCTGTGGAGTCAATCCATGTATGAAAATGTTGTCTCATGTTCCCTGAACCACTGTTTCACAATAAGAGCCCAATAAATCCTGGTATTGTCCTTTTGGAATATGTCTGTTCTACCAGGGAAGAAACAGTCCATAAATGAAATAACCTGGTCACTCAGTATATTCAGGTAGTCTGCTGACCTCATTCTTTGAGCTTATTCTGTTGCTGAACCTAGACCTGACCACCTGCAGAGACCCCACATCATAGACCTTAGTTAAATCCAGGTGGACACTTTTTTTCAGCCAGTATTTCAGTAGTGAAATGAGGTTTATTTGATTAACAGAAAATGTAGACTAGAGAAAGCTCTATTAAATAGTATTTCAATGTATTATTCTAAATTATATTTTTTAAAGACTGAAAAACAGATTCTATTTCATGACGACTTAAAACTAGATTGACTAAATTAGATTTAAAGGGGACCCAATATGCAAAATTCACTTTTTTCTGTTTTTTTTTCTTACATTTGGGTCTGTACTGCTTCTAAAAACAGTCCAAGCACCAGAAAAATGCACTCAGATGTATTTTTACTATTAGTAAATGTATTTTTCTGTCTTGAAATGACCTGTTTTCAAACACCGCTACTTGTGATGTCACAAGTCGCACTCCAGCCCACCCCAACCTGAGCCCAGACTCCGCCCACTTCTTCACGGGACGGTTCTGCTGTCTTAGAACAGAGATGTGTGGATTAATTTTATTTTTATTTTTGATGGCAATGTTCTAGTAATATTAAAGAAAATTTGTGTAAATAATTTCACCATGAACTACTTTGGAAAACTAGTACTTTTTACTGAAAGAAAACAAAGGAAACTTCTGGTGGGGGGGCGGAGCTAACGTAACCTAAAAGTTGGGAGGGGTTTAGAAAAGAAAACAAAACAAAACTAAACTAAACAAAAGAAAACAAAAGAAAAGAAATGAACTTTAATGCCCACCGTAGTGGAAAATTGTCTTTGGCTCATTAGATATGTAACATACAAAACAGCACATCAAGCACAACTCTATAAACCTCCATAGAAACTTCTGCAAAGCAGCAGGTTCTGAAGAGAGCTGAAGAACAGGCAGAACTGAAAAGGTGAAATTTCATTATGAGATTCTTTTTGTGAATTAAATCAAACGAACATGTGCTGTAGAGCCCACAGATGGATCCTATCTTGTTCTAGGACCCCCATATTACGTCACCTTTAATTTTTTGTGTTGGTGTTTTTCTTATCTTCCCTCCAGCTTTCTAACCACCATTTTACATTGCTTGCGTTCCGTCTCCGCTCCGACCTCTGCAGCAAATACACACCCACTATAACCAATGAGAGTGTTTACACTGGCTGTGCAGGGCGGCGGTGTGCGGACGGCGATCCGTCAAAATTAATACAGATCCTATTTTTGCCGGTCGCCGGAGCAGCGCCGGAGTCAATTTTTAAAGATTACGTCGCAGCAACAGGAAAAGAAATGAGCACAACATCCGTATTTTCAAAATAAGCCACTATTCGGCAGAATAATTTGTCGAAATAATGTGGAAATCCCAGCTATATTAATAAATATAGGGATATATTTCTACACAAATGCTGTCAGAATGTATGGTTCTGTTTGGGAAGCAGATGGAAACATGTAGCATGAAGCATATATGTACACACACGATACACGTGGATTTTATTTTGAAATCAGAAGTTTCAGAAAGACGACAGTGAGACAGTTTCAACATAGATACAAAAGCCTTTATATCGTTGTTTTCAGCTGTGTTTGGAGTTCATCTTTCACAGAATTAATTATTTTTTGCTGTGACTTCCACATTTATCACTGAATTTATCGCTCCATCTCCTTCCTGCATGTCTGTAGGAGCGGAGGTGGTGTGAACTGGACTTGAAACGCAAGACGCGAGACAGAACACAAGGAATGTAAATTAGGGGTCAAGCCCCCGTAAAAAAATATTGGGTCAGACAACTTATGCCAGTGTTGTGAATAAATATGTTATATAATCATTCAACCCATCAGTAGGATAAAGTACATCCAAAAGAGGCTTTGATTAGATTATTTTTATTCCATCTGTAACATTGATATCTTTGGTGTTGGAGAGGAATTTGGGTTTCCTTGAGAGACTCAAACAAGGGAGTGGCTTTGGTGTCGCCCCGTCACACAGAACTGGTTTTGTGTACTAATGAACACGTGTATTAAATGAAATATGGCCATGATCTTTATGGCAGGGTGGCTGTCCCTCATTGGATAATGTCCTGATGCATCTCAGTAATCCAGGTAAAAAATCAAAAGGAAAAAAATTGTATAGGTCCTCTGGACGGGTTCTTCTTTAATGAAACGTTTCGTCTCTCCTCCAAGAGACTTCTTCAGTCTGAGAGTTTCAGGCTAAATTCAGGCAAATTTTGCCTGAATTTAGCCTCCTCTTGGAGGAGAGACGAAACGTTTCATTAAAGAAG